TCTTAATGAATAGAATGATTTGTTCTAATGGTGTTTGTAAATAGGATCACAAGTCCGCATCTTGTGCAGCAATTAACCACTAAGAAGAATATATGCAGTGTATTATTTGTTGAAACTGTACTTCCGATTTGATTTGAAACTGTCTCATTGCTATCTGTTTATCAATAAAACTGTGGAAAAAAAATAAGCTACCAAAAAAAAGAAAAGAATATGGAAGACATCACTGATGTCAACAATTTTACATATACAAAAAAAAATACAAATCTTTCTTCTGTGGAATTAAGAGAAAGTAGCTGTATATCTATTGTAACTATTTTGCATATACAGATACAAAATGGTCTTTCATTTGTATCCCCTTTTTTGTTCCGTTTTGTCAGACATGGGTATTCAATTGCAATTTAAATATTGTAGGTGTGTGAATTCAGCAAAATAATGCAATATGGTTGAGTAGTCTGTAATAGTAGTGGGTTCTCCATAGGACTGGCAGTGTCAGAAGTTGTTGGCTTGAGTCTTTTACACCTCAGCATATTAATATGGCTTTACTTTTTATACCTCATTTTTTTATACCTCATTTATACCTTTTCTTCATTAAAACCAAGATAAAGCAAGACCTATATAACAAGAAATTTAACATTTCTATCTGACAAGGTAAGTTAAATCCCTTCAGGATTTACCCTGAAGCGGTTTACTGTAGTTTGTAGACCCATTGTCAGTGTCAGCCATGTGGATGATTCACGGCCAAAACACAATTTCTTAACTACCCTTCCTTCAAAGACTTCTAGGGGTGGAAAAGTCCATAGGCAATTAAAGTGAGGCTTCCTTGTAAATGGAAGGACAATTGCTGTGAAATACCTATGTGGGTGTATACATAAATGCAGTGCACACACATGTATGTGTGTGTGTGTGTATGTGTGTATGTGTGTTTGTGTGTGTCTGAATGTTGAATTTGGGAGAAGCAGATATGATATTGTCAGAGCTTCTTGGAGTGTAGAATACATTAAAATGTCTTTGAAAAAAAGAATAAAAATCAAGACCCACATATACTTAATCATTCCATAGCCAGGGTAGTTTGCATAGAAATTTGCATTTATGTATTCCTTTTTAAGCCTCATTTGTATGGAGGCAGAAAAGTGTGAGGGGGCAAATAACATGTTCCATGAACCTTGTGCCCTTACAGCAGAGAAAGAACATCTTTTATAAAAACTTGTGGTGCTCTTAAATTTGCTGTTAAGTAATCTCACAAGAAACAATTGGAACTCATTTAAGAAAGTAATTTAATGTGATTTACCATTTTAAACTCTGCCAGCCCAGCTGCACTTGTCCTGAAGAATTGCATAATTTATTCAAATGACCCAAAGGTTTTAAAGTTAATCTTCCAGGAAAAAATTACCCCTTCTTCCTAGGAGAGTGAATTTGTGTGTGTGTGTGTGTGTGTGTGTGTGTGTGTGTGTGTGTGTGTGTAATATTCCTTCCCATTACTGACATTTATTTGACTATCAAGTATGTTTACATTTAACTTAACTGGTAGTTCTTTGCTGAATCAATAATATGCCATATTTGTTTTGAGTATCATCAGTATTATTGCTATTACTTTTTCTCTGTCTTTATTTGCTTGCAATTACACAATTTTTCTTTGCCTGATGAAGTTATGAGAAAATAAAATCAATTTATTTTCAATCTTCTAGAACATGTGTGCCTCTTCAAACTTTATTTAGAATAGAGCATAACTGTATTGAAGGATGAAAGGTCTAGGCAAGTTCCTTTGCTCCTAGGGAATGTTTGAGCGTAGGTCTCCTGGATGACCCTGCAGTTTGTTCTCAAAAGTTTATGGCTCACCTCCTGGCTGCTTTTATGGAGAGGGCATGAGAAGGGACTGGAAGAGAGCAGAGTATGAATCTGATCCAGCATTAACACTTAAGAGGTTCTGGCCTGGAAAAATCTTTTGTATGGCAAACAAACAAACATTTTAAATAGAGAAGAAACTAGGCTTAAACAAAATGAAACCATTTTCCATTTCAAACTGTCCTTGACATAAACATTATCTGACCATTCTTCTGTTTCCCAAACATCAGTTTCCCACCATTTGGACCAAGTTTTTACCTGAATTTCTCCACTTCTTAGGAAACAAATATTTTGATATTTAATAAAATATATGTAGTGCATTTTGTCAATATGCAAACTCAATCTACCTAAAGAAACACTGTGATGGTAACATAGAAGCCTTTGAATCTTACTATATTTTTCAGACAACAAAGCTATTTTTAATGATCTCATCTTCCTGTGTGCTACAGAGTTAACTTTAATATCAGTGGAGAAACAGACAAATATCAAAAGTGATCTATTTTGTTTTATGCCATTTATAATTTTCTCCTGTTATTAATGCTCACTTCTCCTTCCTGGTTCTTCTGCAAAATGCCTTACTTAGGTACCCACCTCATGGACAGAATGTTCATCTCCCTCACCTGATCCATGAAATATGGGTAGATGTACCCATACTGCTTGTTTAAAGAACTAGAATTAATTGAACTTAAAATGTCCAGAGTTTTCTGGCTACCTGTATTAGCCACAAAAACTATCTGGGTGCACATTTTTATGCAGCCTTTAGTTTGCACATCCTTATTACATTGTAATCCTTCAAACTATTTCCTCTCTGATGCCTTTATAATAGATTATGAATGGTCAGTAGTAATTTTCAGGATATGCCATATGTTTCCTTCTTGCCAGGACAAAAAATAATATTAAAAGATCAGTTAGTGCTTCTTCCTGTAATATAAAGCTTTTAAGCATGATCTCTTACAATTTTTTTCAGCTTGAATTCAAATGTTCTCAATAGCTATGTAGCCTTAGAAAACTTATTTAAATTCTATGATCTTTACTTTTTGACTTATTAAAAGATAATAACAGTAATAGTTCATAATAACTTTTATCATGTGCTGCATATAGCTTTTAAGCACTTCAATATATTACCTTATTTAATTATTGTGACTTCATGGTGTGGGTAATCAACAGTATCTCATTTCTCAGATGAGAAAACTGACATAAAGCAGGAAAGTAACTTAGCCATGAGTAGAGAATATGAAGTGGTACAGCTGGCCTCATGAGCTTGGTAGTTATCCAGCCTGGCTGGACCTTAGAAGTCATAAAGTTACCAATATGTTGTATTGCCTCTTTATTAAACTATTGATCCTAAAGCACTTAGCACAATGTTTGGCATTAACATTTACTGTTAGTTAGTATCATCAATATCATAATTATTTCTTATCTTTTTTCATTTTATCATTCTTGGTCCTACTAGATTTGTGTAAAGTTGCTCATCTGTACCACCACAGAAATAAAGAACAGCACAAATAGTGTTATAGGCTGAAATAGCTGCCTAATCTTTCTTTGCCTTGTATGGTTTGAATTTGAACTACAAGTATGACAAAGTCCTATGAAAGGAGGCACTAAATGTTAATACATCTTTTCCAGTACATGAAAATTATATCCCTCTAATCTTCAACCTTCTAGCAACAAGCCAATAAAAACTGCTTAAAGCAAGCAAGGAATTTTAGAAGTGGTAGACTTCAAGTTGCTATCGTTCCTTAATAAACAAGTAAAAATACCACATATTATAAAAGATGTTGGTGAACTAAGACTCTCCTGCTAGACTAAATTCTCCTGTCTCTTGCTCTTGAACTTTCTATAAAATATCAGTGTCAGGGGAAAAGAGAGAAAATTCTGTAAATAATCATATTCTACTTTTAAAGTAAGCCACTGACTTCCAAAGTCTCTAACGTATTTGTGGAAATTTAATCTTTTGTTTGAGACTTATTTGAATGAACTTCTATGATTGGAGACAGTGAGAATTTCAGATTCATGTTTTGCAGCCAAAAAGAAATGCTCTGAAAATTTGGCAAATGTTCAGAAGGCAGCCCTAGAATTATGTAGGTTGAAGGCTCCCCAGTGGACAGGCTGAACATACAAGAAGGAAACCAGAGATCTGGTGCTATTACATTCTCGAGTCTGAGAATGAATAAGCACAGAATTCAAAGCATTCTTTAGCCTGAAATTTTAAGGTAAGTGTGAACAATTTATATGTACTTGACTTGGAGAATAGGACACACACTAAGTGAAAATACTTTTTGGATAACCTTGCCTTTTTTTCCTTGTGTTTTAACTGTATTTTTTAAAAAATTCTTAAATTGTTTTACTACTGCTTCTCTTACAGGGGTGCATTTAAGAACTAGGCAAGCTGACTTAGAACTTCTTTGAACTCCAGCTACCAGTAAGTCTTCAGTGAGATTTATATTTTATTCTTTCATGTAAATTTGTAAGGTGATATAAAAGAATAAGCTTTAAGCAAAAATGATAGTTTTCTGTTTATTAAGTGGTTCATTGGTGATTATATTTTTTCACTATGTGTTTCATTTGTGTGTGTTTTGAAAATATCCAAGTCATCCTTCCCTTAGTGTGTTTATCTTCAGCAAATTTTCTTTTGTTTCAAAATAATGTTACCACAATGAAAACTGAACTAAATATTGTTCCAAAACCTGAATACTGATTGTAAAATTTGAGGATAATGAACAGTTGTCTTAAACTGTAAATAAAGCAAAGGAAAAATAGTAAGATTATTCCATGATTATACATTGATGTTCAGTTGTCATTTCATTGAATAATCAAAACTATTTTTGCTTGACCCTCAAACATGTTTAGTTGTTTTGTTTTCTTTTTCCTTCCTTAAATTGAAAATATTTTCTTCTCCTGAATAGACTAAAATTAGATGCCTTTAGTTAAAACTGATATTCTCTATTAAAATCTGAAATAGGAGGCTTCCTAAAAACAGGCACATGTATAATAATTTCTTAACTAAAATGTGAAAACAATGAAAACTTAGAATTAAAGATATTATTTTTAATTAGCAAAACCTGATCATGATCCCTCATTCCAATATTCTCCTGTGAATATTCTTTTTAAAAATTTTTAATTAATTTTAATGAGAAATCAATAGCAATGAGACAGTCTTAAAACAAGTTAGTGGGGAAATTACAATAATTAATACATTGCATATTGTTGTCTTCATAGTAGTTATTCAGAGTACAAGATGCAGACATGATATCGTGTCTAAACAATATTAGTACAAATCTTTCTTCTCATTGTCTCCTTTGACTATTCTTTCCTAGTTATTTGTATACTTACTTATTTTTCAATATTTGTGTTATTTATATTTTCTATAGTTTTAATGATTTGTATATAATTAGTTACTTTGAATAAAACATTTCTGTATGAAATAGCAGGGTGATGTTTGATTTCTAGAAAGTATACAGACTAAGATGTATAATGAAGTATTTTAGAATATTAACTTGAATTTCTTCTTGTTTCATGTATTTATTATCCTAACTTTCTGCAAACTTAATTTTCCTTAAACTATTCTAAAAGATGATAGAAAACAGGGCAAAAGTTACTTTTGTTCAGAATTTTCAGTGAAATGTCTTAGTTGCCACTCTTAAGTATATTTTTTTCTTTCTCACGAGGTGAGGTCCATTATTATTCTGTACACATGACCCTATCTCATAGTGTTTTCTATAATCATATTTTACTTTTGATAAGCTTAAAATGTTAATGACTCAGTTATACTCCATGTTTGCTTGTGTTCTAAGAGCTTCATTTTTTTCCCTTACAGAACTTGTAAGAATCAGGAGTTGTTGAAATTTTACTATGAAGGGCAATTTTACTTCTGGCACCGACAGCCAAAACATTACCAGCAGTCTGCACTTCAGACTTGTGAACATATCTAGCAGCAATGATTCCATCTTTAACTGCCCACAAAAACCATCAGATAAACATTTAGATGTGATTGCTGTTCTCTACTACATTGTTTTTGTGATTGGATTTCTTGTTAATACTGTTGTGGTTATGCTGTTTTGTTGTCAAAAGGGTCCTAAAAAGGTTTCTAGCATTTACATCTTCAACTTGGCTGTGGCTGACTTACTCCTTGTGGCTACTCTTCCTCTCTGGGCAACCTATTATTCTTACAGATATGACTGGTTCTTTGGACCAGTGATGTGCAAAGTTTTTGGTTCTTTTCTGACTCTGAACATGTTTGCAAGCATTTTTTTTATTACCTGCATGAGCATTGATAGGTATCAAACTGTCCTCTACCCCTTTCTGTCTCAAAGAAGAAATCCATGGCAAGCATCTTACACAGTTCCCCTTGTTTGGTGTATGGCTTGTCTCTCTTCGTTGCCAACATTTTATTTTCGAGATGTCAGAAATACTGAATACTTAGGAGTGAATGCTTGCATTATGGCTTTCCCACCTGAGAAATATGCCCAATGGTCAGCTGGGATTGCCTTAATGAAAAATATTCTTGGTTTTATTATTCCTCTAATATTCATAACAACATGCTACTTTGGAATGAGAAAACACTTACTAAAGACCAATAGCCTTGGGAAGAACAGAATAACCCGTGACCAAGTCCTCAAGATGGCAGCTGCTGTTGTACTGGCATTCATCATTTGCTGGCTTCCCTTCCACATACTGACCTTCTTGGATGCTCTGGCCTGGATGGGTGTCATGAATAGCTGTGAAGTTATAGCAGGCATTGAGTTAGGACTTCCTTTTGCCATCCTTCTGGGATTCACCAACAGCTGCATTAATCCTTTTCTGTATTGTTTTGTTGGAAATCGCTTCCAACAAAAGCTCCGAAGTATGTTCAGGGTTCCAATTACATAGCTTGAAGGCAAGAGAAAGAATATGTCTTGCAGAAAAGGCAGTTCTTTTAGAGAAATGGACACTTTTTTGTCTTAAGCACAAGAAGACATTGCATGTTATCACCTTGTTTTAAGGCTTACCTGGATTATCCTTAAATAGCTTTGTAAAATAAGATTTTACCCTTATTTGATCTCTACTCACTTTTCTCAAATAGAAAATCAAGTATAATTATACATTTTATGCTCCAGTGATTTTCAGAATTTATCCATTGTTTTTCTGTTACATCAGTACGAGACTGTTTTGAGACATATCCATAACTGAGAAGCAATTTGAGATTTAAGTCATGTTATAATTAATATTAACTTGTGAATAATGATTTGGGGTTTCAAATTTCTCCTTGAAAAATATTGGCATTTTTAGTGGATTTTTATATCCATTTCTGTCCTACTTTCTTGCCTCTTGAACAAAGGCCAGCTTTAACTTGCTGCATTATTTACAAGACAACTTGGCAAGATAAATAAGAACTAAGTTGAGTATAATACACTGATCTGAGTGGACTACATTATAATATATTACCACTGGATTATTCAGGCTCTAGGCTTTAGATATAAATTACTTTCTACTTTTAAAGAAATTATAATTCTATTCCTTTTACATTTCAGTTGAACATACCTTATACTTAATGCCTAGTTATGTATTGACCAGACTAAGAATATAGATTAAATCACACTTATTCCAGTATTTTAGTTTATTTTTTTTACAGTTATACAGAGTAAAATGTATACTAAATGAGTTGCTATTAACAAATAAATGCTCACCAAATTCTGAACAAATACTTTAAAATTTTTGTATTCATGCTAATTTTTATATAAAGGTTTCTGCATTTTCTGATACTTTTTGAAAACCATATACATCAAACACTGAATATATAAAATGCAAAGGTCACTTTTTACATGTTTGACCTTTTCAATGTTGTACTTTGATATCTAGGACATTGATTTGATTTTAATTATTGCATTTTGGGTTACTTCTCAAAACATCTAGGAGGATTCTTTATCTTGTAATAAATTCTAAGTTGCCACAGGAAAAGGTTATGCCAGAATGAAACTGCAATACCATTTGGGTGACAAAGAGAGTCAGTAAATGACAAGCATGGAGTGAGGTTGAAGATCTGTCAGATATGACAGTTCAGTGTGGCTTTTACAGTATAGACACTATACTCCAATGTGTTCCTGAATCTATAGAATTCTGTGGAGGAATTTGAAGCCAATTGCTGGTCCATGGTTATTTTTCTTAATGTATTGTAATTCCCAAGTTAAAGGAATACATGAAACTGGCTGAGTTATCTAAACTTGACTCACATAACTGTATGAATGTTAAATTTAGAAGTTCACCTTTTTATTCTGTACCAACTCTGTATTATGCCAAGCTAAGTAGGACTTTCTAGACCAATGGTGATTTGTGAGGTAGAATTTAAGTTTTGGGGCCTTAACATCTTCACCAGGTTCAGCAGCTATGAATTGAAGAGTTCTCTCACATCACTTTCTGGGAAAGTTCTTTCATGTAATCATATTATTTTCATACGATATACATGCCGGAGAGATGGCTCCGTGGAATAAGCGCTTGCCTGGCAAGCTCAAGGACCTGAGTTCAATCCCCGGTTCAGCAAAAAAACAAAAACAAAAACAACCCCCCCAAAAAACAAACAAACAAACAAACAAACAAAACAAAACAAAACCAAAAAAACGATATACAACTAAATGTATAATCAACTATGGCTTATTTTTTTGCATAATTTTGTAAAGTACCTTGTATAAATAAAATCTTATTTAGAAGATCATGTGTGCTCATTATCTTTTTGTTTTAACTCTCTCCAAGTATAAATTTCAGAAACCTCTTGTATTAGTATCCTGAATTCAATTCCCAGTGAAACATCTTAGTTTCAGCCTCCATTTTTACTCACCTGGTATCAGGCTTTATTTACTCTGCCAGCCTCCTTGTAAATTTACTCGGATATAATTTCTTCCTAACTAAAAATAGTTTATATTTCTTATCAGAGTCACCATGATCTTAGAAGACCTGACACATTCTAGCCTCTCTGGCATGTTTTTCTCTGTTATCCTTGCTTGGTGTCCTATATTTGCATGCCACCAAATGATCTTTTGCTGATGCGAAGGCCTAATGCTTTTCCATGCCTTTCTGCTTTTGTTCACAAAACTCTCTTTTCCTGAACACCCTTCTGGTCATTTCCATTCCCAGGGCCATCCACATAATTGATGAACATCTACTCATTTAGTTCATGCTGTTTCTTCTACCATAATCATTACTAATCTATGTTAACTACATGACACCATCATGGGAGTTCCCTTAGTGAGTATAAATGCTTCTTTAGTTCTTGGGATTTTTAAGTCTGCCTGATGCTTCCATAGGAGTGTAGTCTTGAGCTTTGAGTAGTTGTTTTCCCAGTGGTTTTTCTAATGCAATGCCCAGGGACCATATAAAAACAACAGTGATGATGATAGCACTCATAGTTTTAATGAGGTAAGCATTATGTGTTTGGCACTACACATTTTATGTGTGTTATCTCATGTTTTTCCTCAAATGAGTTATTCTCATTTTACAAAGTAGAAAACCATGGCACAGGTGTGTCCTGATCAATCTTTATGTTTGGTTCTGATAGATGAACTTGTACCAGTGTTCAGTACCTTAAATATGTATCCTAGACTACAAAGCACATATCTCAGAGGCAGTCTTACACAGTGTTTCAACTTTCCTCCCTAACCTCAGCAATACAAGAGTTGTTAGGCAGGTGATGTATTTACATCCATGAAGAAGAAGAAAGGATGTAGAGAGATAGTTTTTTTTTCAAAGTTTTATTGACAAACAGATAGCAATGAGACAGTTTCAAATCAAATCGGAAGGACAGTTTCAACAAATAATACA